CTCCATGGCGATCGGTTGCGCAGCTGCGAAAAGCTGGGCTTTGTAAGGTGTGATGATGCCAATCTTGCCGGCGATGTTGCCGTCGCGACCAAAGTCGGTGCGGAACCGCGAGTAAATTTGCATGGCCACCTTCAGCTCAGCCAGGTTAACAAGTGATTGGCCCTTGCGGCCCCTCTCCTGTGTGCCCTGAACATCAAAGAAACGATAGGGGCCGAGAAGAGGGCTCGCGTGCCACGCCTGCCGTCGTAAACCGGCCATGTTCGGACCGTCCACCAACTTGGCTTCGTAGAATTCTTGACTGGGGAAGTAGCTGATCTCCGGGTGCATGCGGTACTGCGTATCGAGCATGTGGATGTATTCGGGGTGGTTGCGCTGCATGCGAACGAAGAGACTCTGGTCGTAACCAAACCTGGCAGCCGACTGTGACAATACTGTGGGCGGGAGCTGCTTGGGATCTCCGACAAGGATGCACTTGGTGCAACCGTACTTGAGAGGGATGAGGGCGCTGAGCTCAACACACTGCGCAGCTCCATCGATGATGACAGTCTCAAAGTCAACACTCAGGTTCTTGAACATTTCATGGCCGGAACCACTCAATGTGGCGCACAGCACCTGGGCCGAGTCGAGAATCTCCTGCTGTACCTGCTTCCTCTTGATCTCCACCTCACGAGAGATGGTCTGTCCGCTTTCTTTGTCGGCATCGATTTGCGTACCGATGCGGAACTGTTCACGCTTCAGGGTATCGAATTGTCGCTGAAGCGTCATTTCGAGCTCACGGTCAGTGCCTCGGGCTGCCTCGAGGGCGGGTCGAAGCTCGTTCACCTTATCTCTGATTCCTGCGGCATCAGAATGCAACTTGTCGCGAGCAGTCTTGAGCTTCTCTGCCGTGTTGTCGCCCTCGAGCCGCTTCTTGACCAGTTCGTCCAGGGTCACGTCCCTGACAGCTGCGTTGATGGCGTCACTCCGGCCCAGACGCAAGACGTTAATCTTGTGATCGTTGCCCGACATGGTCCGGATGCCCTGCTTGAGACGCAGAACAAGTTCGTCCACAGCAGCGTTACTAGGCGCGCACACCAGAATCTTCTTCTTCTGGCCTGCTGCCTGAGTGGCGCCGCCCGTCGCGAGTCGGACGCCGCCAGACTGCGGAATGTTGCCAGTCATGAGAGCACCCACCATGGCTACGATGGTTTTCGTTTTGCCCGTACCAGGAGGGCCTTGGATAAGCGTGAAGCCGTCATTGTCACGAGCTCCGAGAATGGCCTTGGCCTGCCCAGGATTGAGTGTGTAGTTTGTCAAGACTTGGGTGACGAGCTCGTCGCTGTACTTCAAGACCGGCGATGGCTCGGCCTTGAGGACCTCGTCCATCAGGTCATAGTACTTCAGACTCTCTAGAGCAGCATACTCGCGCTCGATCGTGGTCATGTTCGTGATCTTGGCAGCATAGAGCTCAGCGCTGATGTGGAGGTTGCCCTGCAGCGGGTTGTTCCGCATGTTCAGACGGTACGTGACCTCGAGCATATCTTTTTTGTAGGCAGTCTTCCAGATGCGTGCTAGAGCATGTGGTTCATTGGGGTCGCTGAGGGGGTTTGATGATTGAGAGAGCAAGATAATGTCGCCCTCGGACAAGCCTCGTTCCTTGTTCTCAAGCTTTGGCATGCTTGCGGTGACTTCGAGAAACCTGTCGATGCTCATGCGCGAGGCAATCTTGATGCCAAACGGTTTTGATGTTGCTTCATCTTTGGACGTAACGAAAGAGCGCCAAGCCTCGGAGACCAGCAACTTCCAAAAGGTCTGCTTGTAAGCCTCAGGATGTGGGTATGTATCGGCAACCCGAGCGCATTTCTCCAGCGTCGGAGGGTCGTTACCCTCGAAGAAGATATCCCACTCGAGAATGGCCTGGTGGAGCTGGTCCATGGGAGGAATCAAACGCGCACGCATATCCTTGGCCGAGCGAACAATGCGCTGCTTCTTGACCGGCCCTCGGGTCTTCTCCAGCAAGATCTGCTCTTGACGCCGTGTCGCTTCGTCTTTGGCTTTCTGGCCAAGCTGGCCCTTGTTGATGAGAGCCTTGACGTCCTCGTCCTCAGAGTCATCGGAAGACTCATCGTCATCACTATCCACCATGATCTCGTTCTTTGATGGAGCGTGATCCTTGCCAATGACACCAGACAGACCCTTGATTTCAGGCCCTCGCAAAGCTTGGGCCTTGGCGATGGCTTCAGCATCTCTCTTTGCCTTGTCGGCCTTGGCGGCTTTTCGGGATTCGATGAGGGCTTTGGTTGAGCTGGGATCGATTTTGGCCTTGAGGGGCAGAGGTTTGGGCTTGGCCATAGCCGATTGCCGGGCAGAAATCTTGTCTAGCAGGGAGCGGTTCTTGTCAACAGAGCTGCTAAGTGAGAGGACATCATCCTTGTTGGACCTGGACCTGGGAACCGCAGAGCTTGACCCAGAAGATCCAGACTTTGACCATGCATCCAGCGACGTCTGCTTCTTCTTGATGGCAGCAGAAGCTGGCTGTATAGAAATGACCTCGACGTCGTCTTCTTCTTCTTCTTCCCCCAGAGCCTTGAGGAGCTCGGCCCGTTGCTGGCTTGTCGCGTTCGAAGGGGTAATGTATCGGCCATCGGGTCCTTTAGTGCAAACATTGTGAATGAAATCCCTCGAGCTCTGCGGAATCTCGTGGTCATTCTCCCGCAGTCTGACGAGCAGCCTGACGACAACCTGCACAGTAGTGGCTACCAGGGTCGGGTCGCGCAGTCGAACCATGTTGACGATAGGCGTCAGTCTTTCTGTCGGTTCTTTCAACAGCCTATGCATGCCTGACGGAGTGTTGCCAGAGAGCGTGGCTGCCTGTTGGTTTCTTTGCTCCTTTTGCTGGAGGGCTGAGGCAATCAGACCACACTGCGCCATCAGGTCGTCGGCGTGCTCGATGCTGTTGCGGCAAAAGTCTTTGATCTTGTCCACCTCGACAAAGTGGGACCAATGGGCTGTCGTGTCGAACGCCTTTTCGAGATACTTCCACTGAGCCGACCACCACGTCGAAAGTGCAACTTCTTCGCCCAGCTCTAGCACGCGGGATCGAAGAATACCGGAGGTCGGGTCACACAAAGCATTGAGCACATTGCGGCTTGTCGTGATGATGGGCACAGCAGGGCCCCAAGTCAGTACTTTTGACTCATGGATTTGCAAAAGACCGTAGTTGAGAGATGCCAATGTGACCTCGAGACGCTGGTGTAGAAGCTCGAGCAAGGCATCCGAGTGCGAGAATACTCCCGTTATGGTCTTCACCAGCTCTTTGCTCGAGTCTCGAAGCTCATCCTCGCCGTGGAGGTTCAGAGCAAGGACAGGTCGGATCGTTTGTGCCTTGTATAGGAGAAGCTCGAGGTCTTCCTTGCTATAGTCACACAATCTTTGCATGATCCTGCCACAAACAGCAGCCGTCTTGATGGTTGCATCACCGAGCTGAACCCTGACCTTGTCGAGAGAGTTGGGTTTCTTCCTCTTTGGCAAGAATCTACTCAGGCTAATAAGTGGACCCATTGCCAGGACCATGTTTTGCGCAAGTGGCAGGTTGCTACTCCTGAGACTGTCCATGAAGGCTTCCCATAAGGCAGGAGAATCACGAGAGACTGTCATCTGCAGATTGGCCGGGCGAACTTCTTCAGGTTTATCGGCGTTGATGAAATCTTGCTCTTCGCGGCGCAGTTCTTGGTGCTCGGCAGCTGTGGCCTTGGCGTCTAGTGTCAGCGCTGCCTTGACAACGCTCATGGCTGCCTTGTGTACGCCGAGAGTGTCGAAAGCCTGGCTTTTCCTGTTGAGAGCGTCATTGATAAGGTCCTTGTAGGACAAGGTGACATTGAGGGTCGCGTTCACATAGAGTGACATTGACCCGTTGATAAGATTGACCGACGGGTTCACGAACGACTGCAAAACATGCGCAAGAGCATCCAGCCCAGCACGAATACAGGCTGCCTTGCCTTGATCGCCGAGAGTGTCATTCTGCAGTTCGCGTCTAAACAAGAGCCGAAGCAGCTGTTCGCAAGCGTCACTCATCTCGCTGATCTTGAGCGAGCGAATCCAGACATCGATCCAAGATATGGCAGCACACTCAATCCTATCGCCTACTTGATTTGACGTGCCGTCCCCGGAGTGGATGGTATACGCCACCGACTGTGCAAGGAGAGTCCTGATCAAAGGGGTTCTGAAAATTTGCTCAACGACAACGATGGGTCGTGCGTCGTTGATGGTGTCGCGGATGAGCTGAGGGGCCGTCTTGATAATGGTCGACATGGCCTGGAGCGTGAAGAGCAGGATCGCCTCCGAGTTACAGTGGATATGGTTGAAGAGCAACTCGACCACCCGGGGGGCTGGATCAAGGCTACGGATGCCACGGAGCATCAGTTCTCCATCGAGCGTCTTCAGGATGTAGTTCATGCCTTCCCAGAACCGCTGGATTTCTGGGAGAGACTCCTTCATGCTGATGTCCCACGTTGCTGCCGCATCGAGCACAGGTATGATATGGTCATGGACTGCCCAGTCGAATTTATCTTGGGTCAGAGATAGTGGCTGTAATCGCTCCCAAGAGCTGACAGCAAATCGGTGGCGCGTCGGCTCCTTATCGAAGAGGAACCACGTCATGGCAGGGAGCACAACATTCTCGCCCATCTTGAGGGGCTTCTTGGGCTGAAGCCGCTCAAAGACCTTCTGGAAAGATGCGCGTCGGGCCGGATCACTAAGGTAGGCCATGCAACAGAGCGTCTCGTAGATAGTGAGCAGCAACAGACCGACCTGGTCCTTGAGGTCGCTCTTTTGGAAGGCACGCCCTTCCGTGGTCTCGACCGTGTCAATTATCTCGACAGCCCAGCCAATGCCCCTGTTGAGTCGATCGAAATCGTATCTGTGCAAACAGTCCTCGACTTGCTGAGCAAGGCTATCGTCCCATTCACTGCGAGCAAGTCAGTCAGCCGAGGAAGCTGGGTGGGTAGAGAGGGAGAGCACAGCGAAGGACAGCGACGTTGGAAGACTCACACAGCATATTTACGAATGAACTTCTTGCGGTTCATGTGCCAATTCAGCACACACTTGTCGCATGTGTGCATGTAGGTCGCCATGCGATCAGTCCAGTCGGACAGCCATACGCCAGCCTTGTCCTTGCCGTATGCCATGAGAAGGCTTGTCCAATAAACGATTTCAATCCTATCCTGGCCATCTTGTATCCTTTTCTTCTTGTCGTCCGCGGAAAGCGTGTCGCTGGCGGCAGGGTCATCGTAGTCCTCCTCGTCGTCATCGTCGACTTTGGGGCAGAGAAGGTGCGCTTCCTCTGGTATCTTCTGAAATTTCTTGTACCAGTGCTCCAGCAAGTCTTCGACCTTGCCGTGTTCCATTTTTATCGTCGGACTTGGGGCTGGGGCATATCGTCGAGTGTCGTCGGAGGTGTCGTCAGCCAAGCTTGATTTGGGGGCATTTGCTTCCTGTTCAGAACACGAAGGTGAATCGAGAGAGCGGTGTTGATCTGAAGGGAAACAGAAGGTGCGATTAGTTACAGGTGGGCTAAGATCGATCCCAAAGGCCGTCGACGAAGGCAGCGCGAAGGTCAGAAGCTCCCACTAGATGTGGCATGTGTGAAGACTGGCGAGGTATGCCTTGCAGTGGAGATGGCAAGACCAGATTGCAGACAGGCCCAAGCCGCGATAGAGATCCAGTGACCGACAAAAAAAAAGAAGATAGAGCTTCCAGTCTTGTCTTGCCCTGGAGATCGACCCGTGGTGACCGTGGCTGTGAATCGTTGCTTTGTCGGCCAGCTCTAGTGGCAAGGCAGAAAAATGTAAGGAGCCGCCCCGATCCAATCCAGTAGCCGTGACGACACGCGGGTCGCGAGTGGATGACCCAAAGATCAATTAAAGGTCCCGCGTCTAGCGTGACCCTTGTGCAGGCAGAAAGGAGGACCTTGACCCACCAAGACAAACCTAGTTCCCCTGCTCCCTTGAAAGCTTACGGGCGCGCACTGCATCACAGGCTCAATCGTCACTTCAATGGGGAATTATTCTTGCCAGCAAGTCGATCCCAGTTGGACTATTAACAACAATCATGACCACCTATCCCGAGATGTGCTTCCTGTGCTTCCTGAGGCTCCAAAATGCGCCGCCATATGCTTGAAAAGTAAAGCTCTTCTTCAGTGTCTCTGCAGTCATGCTTCTCGAGTCTCTCCGTCTTCTTTCTGTCCTTGCTCTGCCTCATCCTCTCCGACTTCGCGGTCCAGCGATTTTTGTTCAGAGCTCGCCTTTGTCTTCGTCGCCTGCCGCTTTGTCTTGCGCTTGTCAAATCGATCCAGCAACTCCTCGAGCGGACATGTTACATTGTCCCAGTCTGCCGTTCCCTCAACAGTGGCGCTCCGGCATCGTCCACACTCTTTTCCATGACGGATGAAGAGTTGATGAAGTCCGTACTTCAGCCTATCGGGAATCCGGACCTCTCCGTGCATGTACGTGTCATCCCGCGATGCCTTTGGGGGAACCCATTTCAACCACTTGCAGAACCGCCAGACGTGCGTGTCTACGGCGAAGCTCGGCTGTTGGAGGCAGAAGAGGATCAGACAGGAGGACGTCTTGACGCCGATGCCAGGGTACTTGGTGAACTCCAGCATAGCTTCGTCAGAAGTAAGGCCCCGTACATGGTCGAGCGTCAGGATCCCACTCTCCATCTTATTCACCTGGTGGTCTTTCTGGCCCTGCGTGAGATTTTGAGCACCAAGTATGTCAGCCATCTCCCCCGTCTCCTTCTCTTTGACGTAGGCTGCGAGCCTGATCTGGTTATCTCGGTGAACCATGTCGAGGATACTCTTGATGTCTCTACCCTTCGTCGGTCCCAATCCGGCTCGTTTGACGGCGTCCACCACCTCTGATTCTTCCGACAACCGGACTTTGTCCCACGCGATGCTGCCCGCCCCGATACTGTTGGCGTCCCACTGCCCGTACTTTGCAGTGACATCTCGGATGGCCAAATTGGCGTTCTGCATTGACGTGTGGCCGCTGATGAGGGTTCTGATTAGGGCATCCACGATATCCGGTACCTCGCCGCACCCTGCTACTGATGTAGATGGAGCAGGGATTTTTTCGGGGGCGGTAAACGCTCCATGCAGCTCGGTCAAGATTCTGTGCACCTCTACACAGTCCTCGGGAGATGGGGCTGGCCAGTCTGGAAAGGGTGTCTGACCAGGCTTCAGGCCGTAAGGGTTCTCCTTGGTCCGCCTGGGGGTTCGGCCCCTTTTGTTCGAAGTTTTCTCGATATCGACACTCTCGACACTAACGGGAATCCTCAATTCCTCAGGGATGTTGTTCGTGATGGACCAGCCAGCAGGATCTTCATGGCTCTTGGGGCGCGGGTGCAAAACCCGAGCGGACTCCGCTACGGGCAAGGCGGTTGTGGACGAGAAACACGTCTCGCCCAACGTTTGCTCTGGAATTTCGTCGGCGGATGCGCATCTGGTGACATTCTTTTCGGGACCACTCGTGGAAACAAGTCCAGAAGTCCCGTCAGAAAGGTTCAGAGCAATAGTTGGTGGCCCTGATGTTTGACTTTTGGGCGCCTGGCTCAGTCCCAGACCATGCGGGAGCTCGTTGATAGGTAAGCCGTTCTTCACGTCAAGATCTTTTCTGGTTCGCTTGGCTGGTTGCTCTTCTGTAGCTTTGAATCGCCCAGGCCAACGTCTGCAGCACGCTTGGTCGTTCCGAAGATCGATGTGATCTTTGGGCTTGCCTGATTTTGAGCCAGCAAAGACGCATCGGCCGCTCGTTTTCTAGCTCCTCTGGTCTGCATGGCGTCTGTGATCTCTTCACTGGATGGTTCTGACAGGCTGGAAGACGAGACTGCCCTCGTTCAAGGTCAACGAAAAAAAAACAGAGTTGGGTAAGCCCACAAAGGGGTCCTGTCGCGAGAAGGTCCTTAGGGTTATAAATGGCTTGAGAGCACGAGGAATCTCCTTAAGGGGTCAAAGAAATTGGGCGTTGGTGTAAGGGGCATTCTTCGGCAATCATGGTTTTCCAGACACTACTGGGAGGCAAGACGCAACGATGGAACTTGTGTGCTGGACTTGTGCTTGTTCACATCACTTGGACGAGATTGGCACGAAATACAAGAAACTTCAACAGACTGAAGCTTGGGACGAAGGTTTTGACATTCGATCAAAAGCTCGGTCCCTTGTCGGAAGGGGCAATGGGAGGCAGACATCAAGGGAAGGAACTTCCCCATGCACCTCCCCTACCTTGTGTCATATGCCCCTCGCGCTTTCTCAAGATTCTCATACAATGACTAAATGCCCGTAGATTTCCCGTTCAGGGATGTGCACCGCGCCTTCGATGAAGCCTCCTAGTTGGCTTCATGCCCACGCGGGCCTTTTCAAAGTGACGGCAAAACGGTGATGGTGCCAAACAACTTGCCCCAGCTCAAGACCTAGAACTACCTTGCTGGGACAACTATGTACTAGACAGGATGCTACACACCTCTCTTTGTCAGCCACATTGTCATTATTTTACCTGCATGCGCGGCCGCGAACACGCTTCCATACTTGCTTTCGGATCTTCTCTACCAAATGAGGTTTGCGAGTTCAGCAGACCTGCCATGGATGAACACCCGACCTCTGACGGTGTTGCGGGATATCGGTTTATACAACTCCTTTTCGACGACTTTGCCAAGTCTCACAAGACCAAAAGAATAGCAACCCAAGTGGCGAGTTGCCTGGCACTCCCTGAAGTTGGAATTCATTGTCTATGCGCTATGTTTTGTTTGTTCAGAATGTTCGCCGGCCTAATGTGTTCTCGCTTTCTTAAGTGCGCACATCGTTATATCTTACCCTTGACTGCCTTGTCTCTGTTGTATGCAGAGGTCTTCCCGACCCTCAGAATCAGTCGATCAGCTCACGGTTCTTTGTGAGCTTTATTTGTCCTTGATCATGGGTATTGTGACGCCCGAAAACAACCTGAGTTGCGGGCTCAGCCTTTGATTCATGCCGCTTAGTTCTCCATCATCTTTGCATGAAGGCGGAGACAGACCCAGCTCAGGTAGCCAGCCAGATATCACAGACTAGGACGTCACGAATATTCTTCACGCAGACCTGTTGCTCCGCAAATACACGAGTTCTTTCCACTTACATGGGGTTTCGTCCGGAAGTTACTTGCTTCGAAGACTTTGGTTCCTTCTCGGAATTTTCGACACTTACCACAAACCTCCTGTCTTACTGTCAGTCCTCTACATCGCCATTTGCAAAGTTGATCACTTCGTGGAGTGGGCGACATTATAGAATGACTTCCCCCTACGGGATCTCTGGCAGAAATGCTTTTGACCCCATCGAGATCCCCGACGATGATGATCCTGTCTTGCCCGAAGACCAGAGACGCATGAATATCGCACAGCAGGTTCGCAATTACTTACTACACAGGGAGCATCAGGACGAAGATGGAGCTGCTTTCCGCAATGCTTCGTCAGAAGATGATCAAGAAGACGATATTGTGGCAGAACTGAGAGAGGTGATCGACCTCACGGGAGACAGGCCCGAACCGATACCTCGGTACCAAGGTAGCTACAGCACTCATGCTGCGCAACCATCACCGAAGAAGCGTCACCAGAGCGTTTATTTTGAAGGCAAAAAGTTCAAAGTCAACTTCGTCTACGAGCTAAACGACACACAGGGACATCAGTTTGCCCTTGGCTTCATCCGAGTCACAGAAATCTGGGAGGACACCCTGGACAAGACTTTCCATGTTCATGGAATTCCATATACGCGCAACCGTGTTCTACACGGTAAGCTATCACGCAAGCTCAACGAGGTCTGCATGGTTTTCGAAGTGTACCAAAACGACCAACGGCCGCTGCAAGAGCAGGCCTGCATCAAGGTGCCCATTTCTAGTCTTGGTGGCCCGCGTCGACTTCACGTCACCAACGCGCCCTACCCTCTACATCGCTGGGACCCCAAGGCCTTCCGATCGAAGGACGAAGTCGAAGTCTCTGGGCCCCTTGTGTGCCGCTGGAAGGCCATCTACGAATACCTCGATGATCAACCCCGAAGGAAGCCCCTCTCGCCACGCAGTTTCAAGATCATTCGCATCAGAGTCGAGGATGTGACAGAGCCCGAGTTCAGGTACAGCGACGAAGCGCTGCGCCGAGACTGGCGCGGCGAAACTGTTCGTGGCGGCAACTACCAAGCACCGCGAGGACCTGTCCAGGCTGGAACAGTGAACCGAGCTCCCAATCAGCGATATACCCTCTTCGATGCCTTTTGCGGCGCAGGAGGTGTATCCCGCGGCGCCGAGCGCTCAGGGTTGCACGTTCGGTATGCTGTAGACGTGTGGGACAAGGCTTGCAGCAGTATGCGTATGAACTTCCCCGACACAGAGGTATTCGAGACCGATATATACGGCTTTGTCACGTCGACAGATGGAAGAGTCATAACCGCCGACGTTGTCCATCTGTCACCTCCTTGTCAGTTTTGGTCACCTGCACACACGGTCAACGGTCCGCACGATGACGCCAATATCGCTGCACTGTTTGCCTGCCGAGCTATCATTGAAAAGGTGCGTCCCCGGATCTTCACTCTGGAGCAAACTTTTGGCATCATGCGCGAGCGATTCGCAGATTCGTTCAACTGCCTCATATCTGGCTTCACGGATCACAACTATTCGGTCGAATGGAAAGTCATTGAGTGTGAATACTACGGTCTACCCCAACACCGCCGGCGCCTGATCATGATCGGAGCAGGGCCCGGTGAAGTGATGCCTCCGTGGCCGGCCATCACGCACGCGAGGGGCGGCCAAGGCGGCCTGAAGCCGTTCAACACGATCCGCAAGGCTCTCCGACCGATTGCGCAGGTGCGCAACGACCCTCATCACAGGCCCAGGCCTTGTCCACCGTCGAGGGACTCGGTTGTCAGCGACCCCGACGATATTCTCAGACGCTGCATGACGACGAGTGGGGGTCAAAATCGGCACTTCGATAACACTCGGACGTACACGAATCGCGAGTTTGCCTGCCTTCAGGGGTTCCCGATTTGGCATCAATTCACCAGGACATGTGCCCGCCGGCAGATCGGCAACGCGTTCCCCCCTTGCGTTGTCCAAGTCTTCTACGAGGCGATTCAGAAGCATCTGTACCAGGTAGACGGCTTCACTGGGAACCCCCGACCTGTGCTCCCTGTTATCCCGAGAGACATCATCAGCCTGGTTGACGAAGGTGAGGAGGAAGACGATAGCGCCATGGAAGACCCGCCCAGGTACAGGGCCTCTGCCAACTTCCGTCCCGCTCGCATTCACCGCAGGGATGCCGTTGACATAGCTGGTCAAGAAGATTCCTTTGGTCTGCGTCCAAATGCGACCCCGAGGCGGCGAACTGCCCTTGTGAACGTTGATCCCACGACCTCCACACACTTGCGGCCGCGGTCTCAGCCGACCCCAGCCCCTTTGGCTTCGTCGCAGCTTGACTTTGAGTCTCGGACACAGCAACGTCGGCAGCCTAACGGGGCATTTGACAGCTTGTCACTGATGTCACGCGAAGTCCGTCGGGACCTCAGCGTCATGGAAGCCACGTCTTCTCAAGTCCGTCGCTTTGAAAAACCCAGCCGTCCTACGTATCCCACAGCTCCGATGCGACCCCGCGTGGACTACCAGCAACAGTTCCCCCATCCTTACGACGAAAGCATGTCACAGTCTCGTTATGGCGCCAACGGTCGGACCATGGGCAACCAAGCCAGCATAGCACGGCCGTCACAGCCCATATATGACAGGCTGCGCTTCATAGCCCCCAGCCAGAGGCTACTGCGCGGCTCGTTTACAGACATGGCCCTCGATTCTTGGGGCTTGCCTCCCGTTGGCTCTTTCCGCGAGCGGCACGACGCCAGTGACCGACCAGCTGGATCGTCTCCGCTGTCGCGCACTGCCTCGTTATCGGGCACACCGAGGCGAGGTGCCATGCAAGCCGAGTACGGTAGTCACGGTTTGCGAGACGACGATCAGGATCAGGATATCATCATTTTAGACTAACAAGAAGTGGGGGAAGAGGCTGGGGTGAATGGTAGAGAAAGGACTGCAGGGCGTGAGAGAGAAGGAGACCAGAGCGGTTACCGGTCGCCCATGGAGTGATCATCAATGGAGAGAGGGAGACTATGTGTTGCTTGCCGTCTCTGTGAGATTTTCGAGGCACCGGTCATGGCTTAGATTTGCAAAACGAAGAGAACTGTGGGTTGGATGGACGTCACCGAAGACAGAGTCGAGCAAGTGGCTTGGATGCACTGGCTTTATTGCGTCAGATTCAACGATGATCGACAGACTGCTGGCGTTCGCCTCGGGAATACACACCATCACAATCAAGCTTGCCGTGTCATTCGTGTGAGGCACAGACTCTAGAGACTGCAAGGGCTCACTGCATTTCTTTTCAGCAATATGTACGTTGACCGTCATCTATGTACCCTACAAAGAAACCCCCTCCCCATTCCATGCACCTTACTCGGCCGGGCCGACGGCGCGACCCAGGAACTCACCTCACGCCAAGACACTCTGATCAATCCAGGCAATGTTCCCAGGCACGCCGTCCTCGGTGAGGAAGACGTCAACGGGCCTCTTGTACGGCGCAAACGCGGCGTCGTCGAGCACGCGCGTGACGTTGCCATTGGCCGCGAGGGCCGTGACGTTCCAGCCGGGCCCGCGGTCCTCGTGCACGGCCATGAAGGTAAGGTCGGAGACGCGCGGGTCGGTGGCGCCCCAGCGGATGTAGCCGGCGGGCAGGATGCTGGGGTCGAGGTACGTGTCGCTGAAGACGGAGCGGTGCTGGGCGTTCCAGGGGCGGCCGAGCGGGCAGCGGCCGAGGAGGGTCGGGGCGATGGAGGCGTTGGCGGCGAGGACCTGGCTGTCGTCGGCAATGTAGACGCCGTACTTGTTGGGGAAGGTCGTGTTGGTGCCCTTTCCAGGCGGTGATGCCGCCGCCGCAGTTGCGCAGCGACAGCGTCGAGTGGGCGACCCAGGCGGTGCCGAGCCGTAGAGGAAGTCGGTCTGGCCGGCGATGACGTTGTCGTGGAAGTAGGCGTTTCCGAGCTTGCCGACGTAGAGCTGTGGTGTTGTGAGTAAGCAAGTGGTCTTTGCCAGTCTGTACGTTCGGGCGAGCTATAACAGAGGAGAAAGACTTACTGTGTCCTGGTAGCTGTAGAGGCCGCACGAGTAGAAGCCGGCATTGGCACGGCTCACGCCGACGGCATGGGCAGGGCCGTTGGCACGAGGGAACTCGTCGTTGCGAAAGTCGATGTTGTAGGCGCGGAAGTCGACGTTGCCGAACGGCGTGCCTTCGGGCACGGCGAAGCCCGTCGGGCCGGCGCCGGTGAGGGTGGCGTTGAGGGTGGGGCCGACGCTCAAGACGCTGGTGAAGGCGTTATCGGGGAAGCGGGCCTGGTAGTTGGCGGCATTGTGCCAGACTTGGACCTCGTTCTGCGGCGCCGGTGACGAGAGGTCGGTGGCGAGGTCGGCGTAGAGGCGGCCCTCGTGGGGGCTGTCGGACATGCCGAGCAGCGTCAGGGCGCCATGGCGGGTGACGTTGAGCTGCTC